ATTTATTTTCGGCTAACGCTTCGACGTCTTCGTCTTCCTCAGAGCCGGTGATCCGAGTCGATGGTCCATGCTTGTTGTTCGTCTCGACGTTGCGTCTTCGCCTTCGTGTCGAGCCAGATCTTCCTCAGTGAGCCATCTTCTCGAATCAAATTCGAATTCTCGAATTCGAGAAGATGGCTCACTGAGGAAGATCTGGCTCGACACGAAGGCGAAGACGCAACGTCGAGACGAACAACAAGCATGGACCATCGACTCGGATCACCGGCTCTGAGGAAGACGAAGACGTCGAAGCGTTAGCCGAAAATAAATATATTTATCAACCTCGTGTAAGCTTATCAAAAAAGAATACATATTGATTAATCACACCGAGGTTTAGGGAAGGTCGGTTTCGAAATAATAGATGCAAGTGTTCTGCTCTTGTTTGACAGATTGCCTCTATGGTGGGTTGTAGATACACAGTTATGTTTCAAAGCTCAATGCGAAAGAGTACAATCACAGATTTGACCTCTTCGAAACGCTGATGTCAGTTGTTTGACATCGTAATTAAGCCTGAACACATTGCGATATTTTGTTAGCAAAGTAGATATTTTTCTGAAGTTTTCTCAACGGTTCGATGCCTCATTGTGGGGAGTGCACCTGGATGTCAGTTTGGGATATACAGTGAGGGTGCATGTCCCCAACAAGGTCTCCCAAGTTGGGAAGGAGATTGACGTTTTTTTCCGGAAGCCCAGCTAAGAGCAGTAGCTGCCACCATCCTGGTATCAAACTATTCGCGTGGTAGCAAATCGCCTGTTGATCCACGGGACGGCGACTGTCTGGGGTGATGACGACCTGAGGAAGGCTTCGGCTAGGTTGACATGGAGATTTCAAGAAACCAAAATCGCTAAACCAGCAAACCTCCATAGATTGGAAATTTGCTAGGGCCTCCACAATGAGTAAGCACGTGTCATCCATGCATCCAAATAAGTATCCTAAAAAAGCAACTTAATTGCCGTTGTTCTGGCGTCACCAAACGGTATCGCCCAGCGTCGTTGATCAACGAAGGACTAGACGCCTTGATAAGGGATGGGAAGCTCATGACGCCAGGTACATAAGATGAAGTTAACAGACCTGTCCAGTAGAGCCATGAATGAGAAACCAATTACGTACGTATCGTACGCCTTACTACTGGTCAAGAAAGTCAAACTGCAAAAATTAAAGGTTCGGCCATTTCTGCTCGACATCAATGAAAACGCCCGTCTTCTTGTCGAAAAACTAGCGACAAAAAGGAATTAATACGTAAAGGGATGATCTAAAAAGTCTAAAAGGAGATGAAATTACTGTTTGCAGTCGAAACCTAATGCGGTGTACAAGCAAAAATTTAAAAGAAAACAAGCACTCGATAGAAACTCGTTAAGAATTTGAACACTAAGACGATCAGTACGATGTCCACATGGGCAAAATAGGGAGAGTAAGATGTCTGGAAAAATGACACGCACAAAAGACGTTCGGAAAAATTTACAGCAACACAATATTACATAAGATACATGAAAAATGTCTTGGACAGCCGAAATTATTAGCAAAGTCACATCAGTCATTTAGGAGAAAATACTTGAGTAATTTTTGTACGCATTAGGAAACACTTTCTGCAATCCATAAGAGATGGCCTTAGAGGGCTGTGATGGTTGTGCAGGATCGGTGTCCGTTAGACTTTTGAGCGTGTCAGCCATGGATGAGCCTGAGCTTTCCTCTCCGAATCGGTAGCAATAATAACATTGATTAAACTTGGACAGTCTTTTTTCTTGAATGCCTAAAAGTTGCACACAAAGTAAGATTAAGGTTCAAAGTTTAAGCTTGTTTTAAGAAAAACACTTTCTGACCACCTTAGGTGTTGTACTAAAAGGATAAAGAATAAAGCTCTCAGGGTTAATTAATCCCTAAAGGATAAGCTATACATTAGACTCCAGCAAGCATCGTTGGAGGTGACTGACTGCATATCTGGCTATTACAATGACTCGCGGTGGCCTACTGATGTTTCGGGCTAGCGCTGCTATCCTCCCAGACAAGTCTGGCACCAATATTCCGACCCCGGAGGGAAGGAAGGCATAACGAGCCTGCGACGCGGGGATGGAGCCCATGTTTATTGCAGGGCACCTCCGACCGCTGCGCAACAGTCGCCCTTAGTGTTGTGTGAATGGAAAAGCAACTGATGAAGAGTGAGGAATTTCGATAAGTAGAAACAAAAAGTGGGAGAGCAATAAGGTATCACCTGTATCATCTGTAGTTCCGTTGATCGCCCAGTGGTTCAAGCTGGCGCTATCAAATCTTCCACTTTTCCCTAACGCATGAAAAAGTAGCCCAGTGGGTTCTGCTTGCTCAAGAGACTCGTCGAGCATCATACCTTTCGTCTACGCTCCTTGTGAAAAACTCTGACCATCGGGTCGGTGGTCTTTTTGCAGTACATTTGAAATCTCGAGGAATCCAGTTACTAACGGCTCTTGTCCATCGGTTGTCATTCATACGCATTACGCGTCTGGCCCATATTCAACAGTTTGGCGTACAGAACGGCATCTTTGACTTTTGATCGTTGACGCAAATTGGAGCTTCGGATCCCATTCCTAACTTGTGTGGAACGGGATACTCCTAGTATCGTCCTTTCGACTGCGCGTTCGATAACGCTGTTTCATCCTGCTTACGCTGCGACCAGGTTTCTGACTCATGTGTTAGGGCAGGAAGTATCGTTGAGTCGAAAAGGTAGGCAGGGAGTCGAGTGTTCTTTGTTCTCTTCACTACATCCTCCATACTCTTGAAAGCTCTCCAAGCCGCTCGTTTTCTTTTGCTATACTCTGGAGCTGAGGTTCAACATGTTGATTTTCCAACCTAGGTACACACAACTGGAGCATTCGGAGATATGTATTCTTTCTTGATAAGCTTACACGAGGTTGATAAATATATTTATTTTCGGCTAACGTTTCGACGTCTTCGTCTTCCTCAGAGCCGGTGATCCGAGTCGATGGTCCCTGCTTGTTGTACGCCTCGACGTTGCGTCTTCGCCTTCGTGTCGAGCCAGATCTTCCTCAGTGAGCCATCTTCTCGAATGAGGCATCCTCACTCAGTGATGCCCTTTTATACACGATGCTGATGGTGGATATATAATGACAATGTCCGGTGGTAACAACTTGTATTTCTTCCGGACATACATCATTGCGCACATCGTGTAGAGGTCGGTGTATTATCAGCTAGCACATATATCCACCATCAGCATCGTGTATAAAAGGGCATCACTGAGTGAGGATGCCTCATTCGAGAAGATGGCTTACTGAGGAAGATCTGGCTCGACACGAAGGCGAAGACGCAACGTCGAGGCGAACAACAAGCAGGGACCATCGACTCGGATCACCGGCTCTGAGGAAGACGAAGACGTCGAAACGTTAGCCGAAAATAAATATATTTATCAACCTCGTGTAAGCTTATCAAGAAAGAATACATATTGATTAATCACACCGAGGTTTAGGGAAGGTCGGTTTCGAAACATTCGGAGATATTCGATGCGTTGAGCGTGGATGCGGCACAAAAACCAATCGTTCCTCGCAAACATCGTTTCTGTGAGATTTAGTCGAAGAACAATCTTTCCACAGGCTTTATCAAAGCCGGAAACCATACATTCAGCTTGGCTAATGTTTGGTGTTATAAGGACGATGTCATCACCAAAGCGAACATGATTTAACTGTCGATCATTGACTTTCACTCCAATATTATCCTATTTAAAGGTTCACATGACGTTCTGGAGGGCAGCGGTGAATATTTTTGCGGGATGGCATCGCCTTGCCCAACTCCTGCTTTGACCTTTCGACGTGATGTTAATATCGTTGTAGAATGATTATATCTTGATCGTGAATTTCTTGTACCGCTCACGAAGAATCTTTATGTACTGAGTAGGGACTCGTTGACTATCAAGGGCTTCCATGAGTGCTTCTATCTCAATTGACTCAATGACTTTCAATAGATCGATGAAAGTGAGACAGAGCGGTCTTTTGTACTCATGCGATACATCAACGAGACTTCTTACCGTGTGGATGTGGTCCATAGTACTAAATCCCTTTCGAAACCGTGCTTTCCCACATGGCTGTTTTTCGTCCAGTGTTCTTGTGTTTAAGAATAGCTCAAGCGAAAAGTTTGTAGAAGACAGACAGCCAGGAGATTGGGCGACAGTTGCCGATATCGTGTAGGTCATTTTTTATGAACAATAACACGGTCTTGCTGGTCTTCCACTGAGTAAGGATCATGCATTCAGACAAGAAACGTGTGATTTGCGGTGCTAATGTGTTTAGGAGGACTGGCGGAAGCTTCTTCAGGTGTTCTGTTCTTATCCTGTCAGGAGCGGGTGCTTTTTCACGACGAAATTTCATGTCGGATTTCGGAAGGGAGAATCGGTGGTACAACATGTCCATCTTTCCTTATTTCATATAACAGAAGGATGGAAGCGGCTATCGAAGAGATTTGAGTAGTACTGGTGAATGATTTTCTCCATTACTTTTCTGGACGCTGTAACTGATCGATTAAAGCGTCAGAGTGCAATCCTCTTGGTCTTGTAATTGGCGAAGATTCGGTGGGTTTTGCGAATGCTTTTCCCAGCCTCTGCAGCTTCTCTCTTGCTGCTTTTACTGCTCTTCTCTTTTTAAAATCTTCTATTATCGACTGTTTGTATTGTTTTGCAAGTTCAGACGTTAGTCCGCGGTTGCCTGCAGCTCGTACGATTCCATGCTGGCGTATCACCTCGAGTGTTTCTGGAGACAGACATCGCTTGGTGCCTTTCGAGCTCTCAGATTTCATAGCGCTAACGTGAAGATGTTTAATGAGCCAATTGTATTCTTCGTCGATGTTATTGTCAACGCCATCTTTCCTACAGCCGACTAATGAATTGAATAAATCCCAGTTTGTGGTGGTTCTGAAACTTCGGTTTTTGAATTTAGCGGCTTCTTCTCTTGCCCGCGAGAGATGGAATTTTGCACGAAGGAGACGATGGTCTGATCCCGTGTAGAATTTGCAACAACAGCGTTATCGGTTTTGTAAAACCTTCCATTTGCTGTGAGGGCCTATTTCCTTATGGTACTCTCCACCGAGAGATTCCCACGTCCAGCGCTGAGGGTGGGGCATTTGCAATTGCGAGTTACCATGGACGGTCCCAGTCGCCATGACAAACTCAGACATTCGCTCACCATTTTCGTCCCATCCTAATCCATGGGTCCCAATGTGACGTTCTTCTTGGTCCAGTATTGGCGTTGAAATCTCCAAAGATGACCTTGAAGAATGCATGGTCTTCTCTGTAGAATTTCTTCAAGTCCACATAGAATGCTTCGACTTCTTCTTCGTCGTAGTTTGATATCGGCGCGTAAACAACGAAGTTATTGATCCACATCTTTTAAAACGACCGATTCGGGTTGTTAATTGCTCGAACGAGTCGATGTTTATGGACAAACTCGTCTTAACGCTAACGCCGCCGACTCCTCTACTGTCGCATTTTCGGAGGAATAATTATTCTCCAGTGCCATAAACAGCGTTGAATGGGTGGTGTCGTCTCATCTAAACCAGGCCGATGACGTCGTTCCTTATCGTTCTTGCTTGCGTGATCAAGTCTTCTATCGAAGACTCGGATGCAGGTGTACGTGCATTGTAGGTACAGATCGTTACCTTAGTTCTTTGTAATCCAGGCAGCTTTCATTGATCCTGAGATTCTGGCAGTCTCCGTACTTGTCCTACCCAACGCTGCCAAATTGGGGACTCTTTCGGCCCGTTTTTTAAAAATTGTGTTTAGCACTTTGATACTCACGTATAGTCTCAGGGAAATAAGGGCCGCTTTTGTCTGCGATCTACTCCCTATCCGCCGACTGGGGACGCGCCACTAAGCCTCGTGACTAGCGGGCTCGAGGTCCCTCATTTGAGGGAGATCCGTGGTTTGAGCAATAAGGTAGGAGAATGAATAAGAATTTTAGAGCAATTGGAATAAACAGTATGTTGGATTTTTTTCAAAAAAAAAAGAGAAATAGAGAAAAATGTGAGATATGTCGGCCTTTCCCATCGAGAAAAATTATTCGTAAGCCATACTAATAATTAGACGACGAGATTGATAAGGAGAGAGAGACGAGGTTTCAGATACTAATAACTAAAGAATATGAAAACGGATATGTGGCAATTTTCACTGAGTTTGTTTTTAGCTCTTGCAGTAGAAAGCACAAAAAACAGTTCTGAAAAACAACGAAAATTTGAAATAATACCATCGATAACGCCTGTCTGATTTCTGGAACGCTTCTCACGAAGTAACCCTCTCCACCTAAGGCTTTGCATAGTTCGTCGTAACGGCATTCGGCCGACAATGTCATCACTGGATATCTGAACGATTGCAAACTTCGGTCAGTCATTTTCAAAAAACCTTCCAGATGAAGATAAATAGAAATTGACCAATGATGGCTTAGAATTCATGCATTCCAGGTATTAAACGGCATTGTGGAGGAAATGGTAGTAGGATTTTTTACTCCCATCAACCCATCATCTCTACCGTAATTTTGGCGTTCTGAATTGTAATTCGACGCATAGGAGACGAAGTGCGTCATATATAATATATGCGTATTAAAGCCTACTGGCCGAAATGTATCGTATAAAATGCATTTCCTTTTCAACCGCTCGTTTGGCACAAAGTGGGTCTCTTGCAGGACATTTTGAAGTAATTCAATAGCCTAGCTAACATTGTTTTCGAAGAAGGCGTCGTCAAGGAAAAACTCTGTTCCAGACTAAGAAGCAGGCGAGAAAAATTTCCGACTAGTTCAACTTCATATACATGTATATATATATCTAGGTCAGTCCAACTTTAAATATACATATGCATATATAGTGGGGATAGCGCAGTGGCTAGTGATGTGGTTTATTAGAAAGAAAGGAGCTTCTCCCACCGCTTCGCATCGCTCTCTTCTAATACATGTGGAAACGCCTTAGCTCGGCTATCCCCGAGACCGCAAAGAGAATCGACTTGACCGGTATTCTAAGACATTTATGAAGAAGACAAAATCTTTATGTATCAGCTGAAACGACCAACGAAATCTTCAGCTATTACCCTACCGTAGATATACAGATTATTGCCTTGTCATTTGCCCCACACAAGAGGAAATGGACAAATGTATTGAGTTATTGAATGAATAGTTGCAGCACATTGATTTTACCTGAAAGAACGCGAAAAAAATGACTTTCATTTTTGACAGTTGAAATTAACACATCCGAAAACGGCTACATCATAATGAAGAGCTGTAAGCCAAGTGACAAAAACATACTGGTTCATTACCTTTCCTCCCACATCTTATGCACAAGAAGGCAGTTCTAAAAAATATGTTCCGAACAGTCACCAGCATCTGTACAGGAAGAGAGCGAAAGAAAGAATGCACGAAACTGGCTCAGAAAATAGCAGCTTCCAGTGGCTACAAAACTGTAGCTCTTCAGGATAAAAAGGATAAAGCTCTCGGCGTTGGTCAACCCCTGAGGGATGCTCCATGCATTCGACTTCCTTAAGTATCGTTAGAACTGATTGAATGCATATCTGGCCTTTACAATGAGTCGCGGTGTCTCGCCGATGTATCGAGCCAGTACTGCTCTTCCCCCACACGTCTACACGTTCCCCCCGTATCAATTTGCTGACGCCGTAGCGATGGAAGACTTGGCGAGCCATGGGCATGGAGATCGATTCCACATGTGTGTCACAGTGGAGCCTCCAACCACTCCACCACACGCTCCAGAATAGTTGAGGAGAGAAACCATAAATCTAAGTGGTAATTCTAGACAGAATAAAGTTACATTTATTTTGCCCCTCATTCCCAACGAAATAAATGCAGTTATGAAACGTTGCTTAGGAAGAGTCACTTTGGGAGACTTTGGTAGAACTGATTGAATAACCACTGAACACTCTAAGATGCTAGCTAGTTCGTAACCGCTTCTATATTCGTCTAGGTGAAACGCGCAGCTGCATAATTTGCCCTAAGAAAATCAACAGTGATTGCGTGAGTTTCGGTATAATGTACCGTATTTTTTAAAGCGTTTGGAGACGGATACGTTGGCGAAACGAGTAGGCCACTCTGCACTTGCATAAAAGAACGCCTTAGTCGGTAAATTTAATGTTAGACCAGATACTCCACTGGGCGCGTAAAGGGACACAGAAAAATAATCGGAAGGATTTTGAAGTAGATGTTATCATCCTCGGCTAGGAATCGAAAATTTCAGAACCAAAACTTTCGAAGCATTTTGGATAAATTCCAAGAATCCGAAAATGAATCGGAAAGGGGAACGTCTCCTTATCACATGTGATCTCACAAAACATCTAAGATTGATAAGTTAAAGTGAGAGAGGCCATTACCCATCCATGTGAACTCTGTGCGGTTGGTCTCTGCGACAAATACTCAGTTGAAGACTCACAAAAAGCAGTGAGAATGCTAAGAGGCTGTTTTGTTAGCAATGCGATTGAAATCTTGGTATTGCGCTTTCCGCTTTGGTTCTAAAGGTGGTTGGGTGGGTAAATTACAGTGACACTGACGTTTCAAGGCTTTGAAGAGTGCGACACCTGCTCAAACATCAACTTTTTCGAGAATAAACAGTGGAATAACAGCGGAGTGCTTGCTCATCAAGAACAGTGAAATGTTCAAAGACCTTTGTGGACGATGAATGCTAGGGAAAACGAATCGACTGCAAACAGTGCTGGGCTTGAACGACAGATGTGATGACAAGATAGGGAAAATAAAGAAAAATATGCACACATATAAACTAAAAGGTTTCAGGTTTTATAGAAATTTTGCAGATGTTTTACGGTGACGTAGCTTGATGCGGTTCGAGATGATCAGCAGTAAGGATTTGTACATGTTTCAAGAAAATGGAAACGTAAATAAAGGAATGCAGGGAGCACGTAGGATGTGAAAAACGCGACGATTTCCAAGGAGTAACACAAAGAAAAATAAATTATGGAGTAAAAAGCACAAGAAAAGGGAAAGGCCACTCATTGGGGGCACTTCGGCCGAGGTGCATCACGTATGATGCACAGTTTACTTATATCGTAATGCATCGCGAGAGCGGCAGAAAATTAAGCGCTATCCAGCGCACTCGACAGAAGGCGGGTGTTCGCTGGACGGATGTCGATCGATTGCCTCAGTTATTGATCTCTTTCAAATATCACTATATCGCTTTTTTTTATTTTAAACACTGTTGTAACGATAAGGATGATCTCTCTTTGAAGAATTTTTCCCTATTATTACAAGTACTCTTAGGTCAGTTGCTATTTTAGTTCTTGTAAATTCTTCATAACTTACTGAGCATTTTGAAGTATTGACTGGAAAATGTCATTCACAACTAAGCGACTGCTGTAATGTAAAGAATAGCGCTCAATTAGTGGTTTTGACTATAAAAAGGGTAAAGCTCCCGGCGTTTATCAAACCATGAGGGATACGCCATGCATTCGACTTTATCAAGTGCTGTTAGAGGAGGCTGAATGCGTATCTGACCTTCCCATTGACTCGCAGTGGCCTGCCCATGTATCAAAACAGCGCTGCCATCCTCGCAGACACGTCTGGTACCAGTTTGCCAACCCCGCAGAGACGGAAGAATTGGTGAGCCTGGGGTACGGGATCGATCTCGTGTGTATAGCAGTGCGCTACACGCGCCTCTGGGTTTCGACTATAGACGGTGAAAATCGTCTTATAGAGAAGTATAGTACAAATTTTCCAAACGCCTTCAGTGACTTGAAGAGGTTCATTATGTGAACAAGTCACTGTTTACTAACTAAGCGAAACGAACTGCAGTGTTGGGTCTCCATCTATCGCTTTCATGTCATCTGGAGGCAATCCACGGTATATTCCGCTGTTGTTTAGTACAACGGTGACAATAGGCAGTTTGTACCTGGAAAACTGGGAATCAAAATCAAATTTTGCTCTTTCCTTGCGGGCGTTGCTAAAATTGCAATGCACTTTACCGGTACCTTGCAATCGTCTCGATTTCCATTGCAGAGAATCCGAAGGCACTATCACCTTGCACGACAAGGACCTTTGTGGTTGGCGAATGATCACGGCAATACAGCGCGGCAGCCAAAGCGTAACCCTGGCCCACACCCATAGTTCCTTGAAGAAGTGGTTGATTTCAAACAACTCGAAGAGCTATCGTCGAGATAGTCAAACAGAAAAGTGTTCGGCATTCAGAACTTTTCGTCACTTATTAATCTTTTTATCTTACTGAAAAACTAGTGAAGTTTCTCTTAAGTTCATTACGGTATTTCAAATATATCACGTTTCCCTCTTCCCAACAAAGTCATTTGGTATATCCTCGACTGGCAATAGCAGCTTAAAGTGGGCGAGGTTGAATCACAAGCGTACCTGTGCTTAGATGTGGATGATTTTATGAAATGAAATACCAGTATCTTTAGCACTAAACTGAGCACTATTTTCCATATACACACAACGACAATAGTGAAAACGTGCGTTGGCTTGTACGTGTATATGCGAGCTATGTCTTATATGTCGACGTCTGCAAAAACATTCAGTCTGCAGGGATATGGTTTGGTTTCGCCTTCAACAACTCTCATGCATGCTCAGGGTGACCCCAACAAGCAAGCCGTGCCTACCCTCACTTCAAATACAGGATCTCTTCGTATAGATGTGATGCTCATCATGTCACTTGAGCTAACGTGACATACCGTTTATCTTTGACGTACGAAGGGAATCAATGAGGTTTTCAGATGTGCTCGTTGAACTCACATGATTAGAATCACAGCTGATAAAGAATGAAAGATAGAGCTATAGGCATTGATCAATCTCTCTATGATTCGCCACCGTTCGACTTTATTTCTAGGCAGTTAGATATACATCTGGCCTTATATAGACCTGCGGCGGCATACTGATCTCTAAAGTTCGTGATGCTATCTTCTTAGACAGGTTTGATACCAATGTGCCGATCCAGGAGGCATTTATAGCTTGGTGAGCCCAGGATGTGGAGTCGAACCAGCTACCAATCCAATCTATATTGTCTCCACCTTCATTTTTTGCAGAAAATATTCCAGTAAAATAGAATTTAGGGCTGCGTTATTTTATTGTCCGATCTCTTTTTGCACACATTAGCTAGTATTTTAGATCATTATTGTTTTCTAACAAATAAAAGCTCAAAAGGCTAAAGTGTTTTCATTCTGTTCCCATAGGGGAAACCTCATCTAACTACGAGTTTTTTCACTAGCTCAAACATATGAGAGCACACACCAAACGTTCCGGCATCGAGACGTCGTCTTGGTAACACCGACGGCATCATGGTTCTTCCGATATCCATCGTGTTAGCACCTTCATTCACTACTAGCACATCATTTTCTGCTAGAAATTCACGAATCTGGAAAAAATCGTTGTTGAATTAACCTACATAATCATTCGGTAATATTGCCTTAAACCTTAGAAGCAATAAAAAGTTCCGTTAATAAAATTTCGTTACTAAACTAAAGCTATTAGATAGGAGATAGCGCTGTCCGTATTTCAACAGTACGAGGAGAGCGAAATACTGAAAAAGTTATGGTTATGTCATACTTCAGCACCATTGGCCATGGAAGATAAAAGGACAAAGCGCTCAGCTTTGTTCAATTCCTGAGCGATTCGTCGTGCATTCGACTCTATTCGTAGCATCATAGAGGTAACTAAACGCATACGGGACCTATGCTATAACTTATGGTGGCCTACCGATGTAATATCAACTGAATGCTCTTATCTTGAAATATAAGTCTAGCATCATAACGCCTACTTCGAATGAATGGAAAACCTTATTTGCAGACTGCTTCGAAACACAGCTCTACATTTATCCTTTCCTCATTTGAATATGAACTCAAAAACTTGATACATAAGTGAAGCGATTGCAAGCTTAAGCCTAAAATAAGGTTCCCTAAGATATGATCTACTAGCAAAATCTATGCTATCACCATGCTCTAAGACCTGATCGATAGACTCTGCTAACCGAAATAAAGCTTACACAGCACAATTATTATAAACAATGAGCACTTGTACCGGAGCAGTTGGAGACGCCCTGCAATACACTTGGGATCGTTACGCGTGCCATGACTCACTAAGCCTTCCATCCCTCCGCGTTGGCAGACTGGTACCAAACTTGTCTCAGAGGAGAGCAGCACTGGTCCGATACAGCGATAGCTCCTTAGAGTCATTGTAGAGCCCAGATATGCATTGAATCACCTCCAACGATGCTTAATGAAGTCAAATGCATGGCGCATCTCTTGGAGAAGGATCAACGCCGAGAGCTCTACGCTTTCTAACCTTTATTAAAGACAACATGCGAAATTAAGTGGCTAGGTAATCTTCTCTAACCGTCGAATATTAATCACTTTGTAACTTTATAACTGACGTAACTTTTTAATATGTAATGCAATTTTATAATGTTACCGGTGTATAGGCAGCGTAGTAGTTGAGTGGTAATGAGTGGTCAGCTGCCATCTCCTCTACGACAGCCCTGAAAGTTCGCTTTCTGTAATGTTTCGACAATGGTAGAATTCAGATAACACTACAGAGCAGACACGAATTGTTACGAAAGAAAAAAAAATTTTGGATGGTTTACGATTTACAACAGCCGGTAGAAAGAAGGAGAAGGAAAAAAAAAATGAGAGAAACCTGTTCTTATTGGCATTCTCGCTCAACTCTCTCATCCAATTGCTGTGTTCTGAAAATCTCCAGTCCTCTAATTCCGAAATCATCTGCAAAATAGAAAATTTTTTTGAGTGAATAAATTTCAAGCCATAAAAATCTATATCTGTCTGTGTTTTTTTTTCTTAAATTTTTTTGAACAAATGTAATACAAAACTCGTTTGCTTAGTCGCGGTTTTCTGTCAGGCGCATAAGGGAAGTTAGACTTTGAGAAGTTTTCCATGAACATCATCTTTGTGTGTTTTTGCCAAGTTCACACAACCCACATGTACTTCTTGGATTTATTCAACATTCATCGTTTCGCGCAAGGATTTTATTTGTACAGCTTGGTTTTCTTCTTAAATCAAAGGTGATGATGCTATGTGTAAGTTTTAACTTTCACATTTTCCCATTATGTTTGGTAGAAAGCATTTCTGAAATGTGATGGCGGAAATTTTCAATAAGATCCAAGAATTTTATGAAAGCGTGTGACCTAAAGAGCCATCTGAACTTTATTGAAAACCTACTGGTTGCTTTCGGTTCATGGTTAAAACAACCGGAAGTCGTTCCAGAGTAGCAGACGAAGCAAGAAAATAAATAACGAGCAAATAAGAAGCTTCTACCTAATCAGTAGCACTCAAGAGTAAAATCAGGCTTACTGAGTCGAGAGTTTCTCCGATGTCTCCGAGTAATGCGACCGTAGTCGGAACATTTTGATGGAATTCCTCCGATGAAATATCAATCTGAATTCGATAATATTCAGTTAGATCAGTAATGAGTACTTTGGTGAACTCTTTAAGGAGTATATGTACCTGCACAATTTTCACAGCTGCATTAAATCGAGGTGATTGGCCAAAATGCAACATCCAATTTAGTCTTGCTCCAATTAGTACCACACAATCAGACTCGCGTAATGCAAATGAACGAGCTGGGGCGACTGATCTGAAGACTTTCTCTGTGGTCGTAAAGCAAGTGCTCTTAGATAGAAACTTTAACGCTTGCTGATTCTACGTATAATTAGTTATTAAGAAGCTTCACTGAGACTTATGGACTTTGGATGAGTGTCGGTGCAGACTCCCTTGCCACCTGGCGTTGGTAACCACGGCAAACCACTTTTGGTTAGAAACTGCTGTACCATCGTCGGTCCACGCTCTGACCATGCAGCTCCTAGAATCTGTCATATATCCGTACAAAGAATCTTCTACAAATCTCCTTTCACCTCGAAAGCACTCAGTGGTTTGACATCATTTCCGAAAAGTGTTCCCGATTAGTTCAAACAAGGTGCACCAAACTCTAATGAGATGAGATTACTCAAACTGTAGCAATGATTGACTATCAAAAAATTGAGTATTTGAAGAAAAGTAGTTTATGAAGCTATATGTCTTAATTGTTCCTTGGTTATCGGCATTTTGCTTGGCCCACATGTGACTTCCAGCTGTTAATATTTGTTAAACAAGCAAAAAGCAACAAGCGAACTTCTCTAATCGGTACTTTACTGGTAATGGACTACATGGCGACTAAAAGTGTATGAAATGTCACCAACTATTAGTATTCAACATAACCTTTTCCAACGATGACAAGAGGTTTCTGAGCTTCCTTAATAGTTTCGACAGCACTGCGTACAACTTGTACTGGAGGAAGTGATACGGGTGGAGGTAACGGTACCTTTGGCACAATCCTGAATATTATTTCACCTCAAGATCACTACCAAAATAGGACAATATTTTTTTACGATATAACCAACGAATGTTAATAGAGTAGCTAAAATTTTTTATAGAAGAGTAGAAGAGGAATAAATGATAATAGAATATCTCCAATATGGGCAGCAATGAAATATAAAGGGCGTGTGCTGCGCAGTGGTCAGAGGCGCCATGCAACCCATGTGGTGGCATCGATACCCGCGCGCATTGCTCACCAATCCTTTCAATCATTCGGGGTCGGGAAATTGGTACCAGACTCGTCTGGGAAGATAGATGCATTGGCTCAATACATCGGTGGGCCACCGCGAGTCATTTTAAAGGCCAGATATGCATTCAGCCACCTCCAAACGAGACTTAACGAAGTCGAATGCACAACGCATCCCACAGGGATTGATTAACGCCAGGAGCTATACTTTTTTTTATTGAGAACCACCTGCTTTGGTCATTCACTCTCATTTATGGAACATGAACAGAGGAAAGTATTCTTTCTGTCAGGTGCAGGCGACACTGCAGTGAACAGAGTGGAAAACTCGCAGGTTTATTTTCGGCTATGATCCTTGAAATGGCAGCAAAATTTTGATAAGCCGGTTTCGAGGGTTAGAATACCCAATGCCTATTACAATTTTTCACGGCAGGGTATTATGTGTGATCTAACCACAATGATGATGAGATATTTGTAAAACTCCAAACCGCAAATTCTGCAGTGGGGAACGAACTAACTATTATTATATTACATTACAAGATAGCTTATCTCGTCATCGTAAATCAAATTTTGTAGCTTCATCAAAATTTTGGTGCCCTGCGTAGGGTAATGGTCGGAGGTGCCGTGCAATACACATGGTAGAGATCCCTGAGCTCAAAGTACACCAGGTTTTCATCCGTCCGGAATTGGCAAATTGGTACCAGGCTATGTTTGGGAAGATACTTGTACTGGCTCGATACATCGGTGGGCCACCATGAGTCATTGTAATGGCCAGATATACGTTCAATCACCTCTAGGCGATGCTTGGTGAAGTCGAATTCATGGCGAGTCCCTCCTGGGTTGACCAACGCATAGAGCTTTCTTTAAATGAAACACAGCGGCAAAATTGACGTAGTATTCTTTGAAAATAAAATAAATTTAGTTGAATGAATTTTGTGTTTATGTTTAAAAGTAATAACTACCCTTTTTTTCTCAAACCAATTCTCAAACGAAGAAAAAATTGTAGTCAGCGAAAACGAATGTAACAAATTCCACAAACCATGGTTACGCTTACTTTCAACACTAACAAACGAAACGAAGGACTAACGGAATTTTACCCTCTTCTGTAGTGGTGAGAACCAGATTACCGGGAATGTCAATGTAAACGGCTCCTGGACGACCGTACATGCATTCTCTTACGGCCTGAACGAAATGATGAAATAGAAAAGGTAACACTGATGAATAAGAAGCGATAATAACAACAACTGCATATTATAGCCTCGTTCGTAATATTTTGTCCAACGTATAATAGTAATTGTATACATGGATTTCTGAGTGCGTACAGTGCAAATGTTAAAGGCATCCTGCAATACACATGCCTATTGGTTCGATCCCATGCCCTGGTCTCGGCAAACTGGTAGCAAATCTGTCAGGGAGGATAGCAGCACTCAATATACATATATCGGAAGGGCGCTGCAAGTCAATCGCCTCTGGCGATTCTTTGTCAAAGTCTAAGGCAAGGACGCATTTCTTACTTGTTGATCAACGGCGAATGCTCTATGTTTTATCCCTTAGTCATGCTCGATCACTGATGAATAAGAAGCGATCAACGGTTTCAGATCAATTATCTACCAAGTCACCTAGCGCGATCCCATGCGAGGGGTATTACGTCGATCATGAACCAAAATAGAATTTTTTCTCTCACACGGACGCATGTGGAGTAAGGAAGCGAAAATTTCACAGGTTGCACCAGTATACAACATATACGGATAATGAATGGAGATTTGTATTCTCTACAAGGATTATATCTTGCAGGTAATTCTGTCCTATGTCCACAAACGAGTGAGTAGGAAGCGAATGGAAGATGGTTCGGGAAAGCTTCAAATAAATTGGTTTTTCCTCGAATCTAGGAAAGTGCCATGAATCACCAAATGGGTACAATCGTCGCCCCCGCTACAGCTTCGACGCAGTAAAGGGAAGAATTGGAGCAAAAGCTATGTTTACTTGAGTTACTTCCTAATTAAGGAAAATTTGTAAACAAAGAAAGCAAGGTGGTGCACACAGTTTAACAGCAAGTCTAGCGAACCTTCGTTATGCCCTAAATGACACTAGATATTACAGAATATATCCAAATTGTTAACCAGTTCAAATTTAATACTCTGATGGATGCAATTCGTTTCACGCCAAAAAGCTCCTAAATTGTTTCCTTTTTTACCTTTTCAACATGAAACGGTATTGCCTGTAGAGTAGTTGGTCGGCTCACATACTTGCAACTGAGCCATGCTGACTCGACTTGAGGCCATTCCTGAAACGCCCCTCGCGTCTCTTGATCGACATCCGACGAGCCGCCGATGCATATTACAGGCCTAGGAAGCGCGAAATGACTTAATCCGAACAAATCCACTAAGATCACTTAACGACATAAAATTTTCACTTCCAGCTTCCAAGCATCTACTTATACCAATAACAACGTACATTTAGAACAACAACAACAGTAAGTGATTATGATGACTACTTAGCATGGATAGGAATATGTTGTTATCTGAGACAGGCGAAACGAAAGACCCGAATGGTGTGGTGGTGAACGCGTTACTTCCCAGGAAGGACAATAGCGCATTCGTTCCCCACCGCAGACACCTGCAGTCCGGAGTTTTACAAATATATCAGCATTATAGTAACAACAACAGTTTTAAAATTGAAATAAGCAGCCAAAACTGTTGCTTTGCTCACTTAAAGCGTAGGCTGAAAACGTTTTTATGCAGAATGATTTATGGTGGTATGAGCACGGTGATGAATACTGTTCACAATCAACTACCGTAAGATCACCTTGGCATGGGTTACCAAGAAACAGTAACATGTGGTGTAAAATCCGCTCGGAATTTCCAAGGTAAAACCAACGAAGTAAACTGGTACCACCCAGGAAAAAATCTTGCCGTAATATAGGGAAAGTTCTTTCTACAAAGGCTTGCCAGTGCCCATGGTGACGCCATGGTAGGAGTTTCCCGTAGATCCGAGGTAATACCATGCAACAGCAGCAACATGTCAGCGACACGGGCTGGAAAACGTAGCATTGCCTGCGTGGGTTCCTGTGCTGTCAAGACAACTCATTCCATTTCTGAAGCATTCGAGTGCACAACTGAATACAGACAAGCAGAATTGATTAGAGAATGAGAAAGCTATGGAAAAGAGCAAAATGTCGCTGTCGGAGTTAACCGTCGACAGTGTTTTGATAGAGTGGAACACCCATGGCAACTATTCTCCGAATAATTTCCTTTTTTTGGTTTAAAATAGAATGTTGACGATCTTGATGGGTGTCAAACACTGTTATCTTTAATACTTACTTACTAGAGTGCTCGGATGGCTCTTCCTCACTGGTTGTGTGGGCTCCGCTATATTCTCCATTTATTCAAAGTTCTGCTCGTTTACCCACTGTGGTTCCCTGGAGTCTCGATATTAGCCTAGCCAAAGTCTGCCCCAGATCATCACCGCCACAAGCGGTCGCTGCCGTTGTGGATCAAAGAGAGATTTGTCATCGTGCGACTAGTTTGATACCGAGACGATAGTGGTTCATAATATTGGTTTACTCTTAATTGGGTTTTCTAATGGAAATTTCGAACTCCTTCTCAGTTTGGGAGACCTTGTGGGTGGGAGTAGATCCCCGCCGTACATCGCAGCTCAGATACATCTTTTAGCCACGATGATGCGGTAAACCTTCGGAAGGTACCTCTAATCACGTACCAAAATTTACTTTAGCGAAACAGATTTTACGAACCCTTGTTGTTCTTTCACCTGTAACACTTCATTAACAGAGACATTATGAATAGAAGGAGTTACAAAGAAAACAATAATTTTTAATGTTTTTAGGCAGAGGTACTGTATGAGGGTTTTATAAGGTCTGTGAAGCATTCCCTTGACAAAGTTTTGAAGAGCGTGATCTCAACAACATCAAACTAAGCAATTCCGCTAATAAAAAACAAGGAAAGCCTAAACCATTGATGTATAGAAAAAAAAACTCGGTGACCTAGTAAACTTGCAATCAATCTATTTTATCCAACACAATATCATATTTACGTATCCATTTTAGGTGGCAAGGGTTCAAAAAGATGACAGTGTACGTGTTCGGGACAGCCCTCAGAGTGGAATGGGGACGTCTGCTACATACAGCAAGATTGTCACGAAATTTGAAAAAGGACGAGTGTAGTTAGTAGTTGACACGATTACTGTGGGAACATACAGTTATATAAAAGAATGGAAACTATTCGAGGAATAAATATGTATCAATCTCGTGCGATTCAACCACGCGAGACGTGCGGGAATAATTTTATTACCGAGGTTAAATGGCGGTCGATTTTAAAATTACCTGGAGAATAGTTGTTATAACATTTACTGCCTTTCTCCTTGTACAGAAAATAATCGTAGTAAACGCGTCACACTTGACATAAGCATTGATGGATTCCTTGACTCACCAACAATTTACGGTAGCATTAGCTAACCCTCCAATGGCATGCAGTAAACCAGGTCCGGAAACCACTAAACAAACTGCTGGATTTCTTGTCAGGTAACCCATCGCTTGTGCTGCATAGCACGCCTAAAAAAAAGAGTTAACGTTGCCAGCGGTTCCGTTATGTCGGCGCTAAGAACATATAACGATTATATCACGAAGATCTAACATTACTCATAAAATGGTACTCATCTACTGTGTGACTCTATTCCGCTTCATAATAGTTTTCACCATACTATTTATCAGTCTGTAAGCCGATAACAAGAAACACATCTTTAAATAAAAAAACCGTATTTTGAAAACTTTACGGAAAGATTTCATTAAGGAAATGGACTGGTAGCTTTACATTGAAAGCTTGGCGTTTAGTGGGGGTACAGAGAAACAGCAGTGAAGAAATTTGTGATATGTTCCACTCTCACAGTAACGCATAATAGCTGACCAACACTGAGGGCTCTTTCCTCTGTTATGTAGTTAATGTTTTTTTTACAGCAAAACTAAAAAAAAAAGCCACCGCTTGTTCGTTCCTACACCCGGCATATTTGATACCGTACGCTTGTGCGGCAGCTCCAACTTCGATGATTGGGAAACCAACCACACCGAAGATGTACTTAATTCCCTGTAAAGCTTTATCTCACTATACAGTCTTCCTATCCAGTATATGAATTAAATGACAGTTGATATTACATAAAAACGGATTGGTATTTTTACCTAATACACCATCCGTCTCTTATAGAACGCTTCTTTTTAGTCTTCACACAAATTTTTTCCTTTTTTCAATCAAACCTACACCTAAAGCTCAGATGAAGGCGAAGGCGATGAAATGTTTTTTAAACAAAGTATTTTATTAACGTCGGCTTACTTTAACAATAAACGGATGAACACCTACTTTCCGTTTTGTGTTTGTAAAACGACTTTTAGGAAGTGGAGAGCGTAGTGGTAGTGATGCCGATCATCACGAGCACGGTGCTAGCTCGTTTTCACTCCGGGTTCACTGAGCCTACCAGACTTATCTTATGTTTACTTTTTTTAAATAAAAAAGAGAACGCTGTATCCTGGATATTTCAGGACTTCAGAGAAAATTTCTCGACCAGCATTCTACGACATTCAAGATGAAATGAAAATCCTCAAGCACAACCGATGTTGCACGTAAAAACTTGGAAGACTTTCCTAGATGAGGGATGCGAGGTAACGGATCGAATGCAACAAATGTTGGAATCCTCATAGAAGATGTTACATTTGCGTGATGTAAAAAACGGACTTCGACTCAACATAGGCGTGAACAGTCAGCATCTTTTCGGATTGTTCACGCTACAGTAAGTTCTCGAAAAACTTTGATTAGAATTAAAAAAAAAAGAATTAGTTCACTTAAAAAAGTTTTTCCCGCCTCATCTTCCCATTTTAACGTTTTAACGTCTTCATTCCAAATTTCTAGTAGACACATCCAATTTATTTGGAGGGTACCAGCGTTCTTGGATTTCACCACGAGTTTTTCGATTTCCTTCGAAACGTCTTCTTAGAAAGTCTTTAGCTTAAGCTTCCGTTTCTTTGCTGTAGTTATATTTGCTTAGTACTCAATGATTGAAAACAATTGTTTACTTTGTTCTACTTATCTATTGCTTAATTTGTGATTGTTTTTAGCATTACCGTTATCAATGCGTTATGGGTGGCGTCGTGCTGTAAGCCGACTAGCACCGTGAGCTGCAGATGTACACTAATGGAAACTATAGAAGAGACCATAAAATTTGTGAAAGTGGACCACCGAAATAAAAAAGTAAGCAAGAATTATTTCCAGTTTCTAGGCTAAAGAATCGGAACGACTATTCTACGTTAAAATTCTGATGAGTAAGGCAAGCAGGCTCAGATCTGGTAGTTTGGAAGTAAAAGTACTAGTAGTTTTCTACTCGACTACTGGACCATGTACAGCAATAAAGTTTAGAATGAATAAAATGAAAATCCACACATTCATTGGATGCTTTGAGTCCAGTGTCAGTTTGAATACTCGTAAAAGTTACGAAAGTACAAGAACACACGATTCTGAGACCTTACTGAAATCTGCGTGCGAAAATGCTAAAGCACACCTGATCCTTAAGAGATTTCGCTAGCACGTCGGCTCCGTCGATTGTCATGTCGTGGTGGTAGTGAGTGGCAAACACTTCCACTGACCCAAATGAATGGCTGCGTCATTGCCTTATCAAATGGACCACCGCCATGGTCTCTGGCACTGCTACCTATCACCAATGACTTATAACAACACTTCTATCACCAAAACCTGGTATTCCTTAAAAAGTCGTATACCTTGCGAAGAAAGCTCTTCATTCACTCTGTAAGTCAAAGATATTGAAAATAAAAAACGTTTCTTCGAACGATTTCATGACCTATCTTTGGTAGTCGCGTATAGTTGAAGTATAAGTATTGAAGTATAGGTATGAAGTATTTTATTACATTCTTGCCAGAATAAGCCAGCAGTCCATCTTAAAGTCCATGGAACGGATATACATTGAGTCAATTCAAGGAAGCTCGGTGAAGTCGAATGCATGGTGCATCTCTTACGGATTAAATGAGCGCTAAATGCTTTACCTCGCTATTCTTCATCAACCTGTGACTCAGCTGCATGGGAGAACTATAAAATTGAGTCGGGCTGGTAGGAACAGAGACCTCGATGGACTGGCAAGTCGGTGGATTTTTTGAAAAACCTGGTCGGAATGTGGCTTGTTGTTGTTTTTTTTGCACGGATCATCTTCAAATAGCTCATTGTGATTCTTGTTCTTTTTTTGTATAGGTGAATAGGGTCTCCGCAATCAGAGAATCAATTAGGTCGATTTTCTTTCCAAGAGGCTATGATTTTTTCCCTAGTGTGGGTAAGGTCTTCGCTTATATAATTCTATCTTTTCCTTTTGCCTATTTAATTTTTGGGAAAAGTTTTGCCTTTATTCTTTTCTTTCCCAAAATAATACTGATGTTATTAGGACGAAATATTTGCTGTGAACTGTGCAGGTGTTAAAAGTACGCGATCGATCCCGGCCTTTAAAAAACCTAATCAATAGAAGGAAGAGCGCGTTTTCGAACAGGTTAGGGTTTGTGCAGTGAATTTTCCAGTGAGGTTGTATAGTAGTATTAATCGCACAAAGCTATACAACAGTACTACTACCATGCGATTTGAAAAAGTAATTCGGCGAAATGTAGCCATTGAATCCCAAGACACAAGGAAACGATCTAGTGTCATCTCAGAAACATCACTTGGTCACTGACGAAAATAATTTGGTCCTTTGTGCAGGAGTGGTTGGAAGCCGATTTTTCGAGAAGAGACTCTTACAACATCTTTATAAATTTCAGCACCTTCCAAAAACAGGTAATAATTTTATGAATTACTATATATATTCACCCTATAGAATACTAGGAATTTTATGCCGTAATGACAGTTTAGACAATATACAGTAGCCCGTCATTAACGATGTTCTGTCAAAATATACAAATAGCACGACAGAACGCAGAGGTTAGTATTGTATTGCATCTTCAATCATATTACAAAACTTTAATTATGTAGAAGAAAAAGTATTCACAAGAAACTGGTCACATCGCACACTCGCTATACGGTAGAAAAAACTTGACATATACTGTTGTAAATACGTATTGATTAATCCTTAGTGAACTCTATTACCTATAACACATTAAGCATAATAAAACTATGGATGCCATCGTGTGTCTATTCGTGAGAGGTTTTCATGGTTGCGCGCTTTCTCGCTGTTAACTTCCTTCTGCAATGTTGCTGCTCCTTGTGTCGCCACTCCTAAAATTTCCTAGTCATTGCGGCTGAAATTACTAGCATAGCGACATGAAAATATCTTGCAACATTGTAACATAACAGAGAACAATTTACGCGCAAAAATACCAATAAATATCCAAAATAGAATATCTCGAAGAAATCTCAAAAATAAGCTGGGACTTGGGCGTTGTCTCAGCGACCACATTGGCGAGCTAATAAGCTTCATTACAGGCCCTTACCTGAAATTTTTTCTGAAGAATATGCCAGGTCGACACATGCAATTTGAATTTCGACCTGCCTAGTCATGGTTATCATTAATGACTACTTTGTCAATGATCAAGGGACGAAGTAGTAAGTGCTGATCACGACTGAAGAGACAGCGCACAACAGCCGCAATATATGACTCCTAAATAGTCTCCTGAAATTACATCGAGAATCACACTTTATACAACATAAAGGACGCGGTGAGAGAACACAGTTCACGTAGCGGAGCGTCCTCAATGAAATGCAACATCACACTATTGTTCCATTAGCAAGCTGAGGCGATAAGCGGTAATGCATCGCAAGAAAATATATATGTAAAGACAAGCCAGTATAATCCCATGGCTGTTTGCCTGCTGATAACGACTAACTAAGGAAAAATGGAAGTTGCAGGCTCACAAACAGTGATCGAAATTGTGGACAATCGCTTCATTCCACTATGCTCTTTAACACTCTGGCCGCATTATTTGCTTTGATATTTGTATATATTCTGTTTATTACTCGTATTTGTTTGAGTCGGTGACAGTTCGAGAAGATGGTGAAGATTAGATTCCCGACCAGCACATCAAAAACATTGCAGTTTCCAGGGAAAAGTAGGATTTAGTTAGTAGTTCACATAATTACTATGGAAATATATGGTAATTTAAAAGAATACGAACAATTGACGAAATCGGCCCTCGCAACTGCTACCACATCGAGATTACTTACGAAGTAGTAGAACTTATGGAGGACGACCACTTCACACGTGACGCTCAACATGGTCTTCATAGGAATATGGAGAGGTATTCGATGAGCTGCTGTCTGATTCTTTGCCGTGAATCTCTTAGTCGGATAATATTAGGCTGTAACATACGAAATGTTTGATTTTAAATGGAAAATTTAAATAATAAATAACCACAACCTTAGCTTTAACTTTTTCAAAAATAAGTAAGCGTTTCAAAATAATTAGAGTAAGTAGAAAGTAAATAGAAGGTTCTGCCTAACCGATGTCGCTGTTGTCTCAAAATTCTACACAGGATCAGACCCTTTATAGAACATAAAACATGCGGTGAGAGAACCACTTATCGGAGCATTCTCAATGATACGCAACTTTGCCTTATTGCTTCATTAACAAACTGAGGGGATAAGCAATAATGTACAGCTAGAAAATATACATGGCGAGTGTTGTGGCACGTCCGCTGCTCCTTTCTCTCCTCACCATCACTACAGCGTTCGGATGTGCAGTAGGACCAGGTATTAAGCGCAATTTTTTCTTGTAGTGAAAACATTTACAACTTAAAGCACGAATTTATTAACTTTAGTCGTGCCAGTATCTCTAGTATTTCCTGTTTTCAAGAAAAGTTGTAGTGCAATGAGCAATGTTTTAAAAGGAATTGTTTCGTTCCCACCTCAGCGGTGGCTGAGCCAATTTTCCTAATATATGGTACCACTAACGGTGAGATTAACCAATCACCATTACCGAAAGCCGAAAGTACCGAAAGCCTGTAGTAAAAATATCTTGGTTCATTACCTCTCCTCTCACCCCTCTCACACGAAAAGGGCGCTTATAAAAAACATGTTTCGAACAGCAACCAACGTGT